CTATTAAAAAAAACCCAAACATTTTCTTTTCTCTCACGAAGAGCAGGAGAACTGAAACATCTGGGAAAGACTAAGTGAGGAGACAAGCTGCCCTCGTGACTGAATGAACTGCCTTGGTGCCTACAGGATGCTGCTCTCCAGGAGCAAATGAAGGCAAAGAGATGTTAAGCCATAACTTTTCCAATTCTGCCTCTGTTTTTTTCCCCTCTCCTTCTATGCTATTACTTCTTTCTCCCACTGTTTGCCGAAATATTTGGTGCTCTGCCAGGCATGTTTCTCACTCAAAATACATTTTATCAGCATCAGCTGTAGAGATCTGAGACGCACAGACCCCTCTTTGTGTCTCATGAGTTTTGAAAACCTTTGAATTGAGCTCAGTGTGGTCTCACTTTTCCTTAATCAGAAGCCTGAGGAGAAGCTCCAGAAATAACAGGGCTGTGCCATTTCCTCTTTGTGCTTCCTGTGGGAATGTTGAGATGCATTTTCCACCCCCACCCCCACACCCCACGTTGTTCCCACCTTGCAGGGTTCGAGAGTTCTGGAGACCCTTTTCTGCTTTCAGCATCAGGAGCAGCAAACACTCAGTGCAAGTTGGGTCCTTGCCTCCTTCCCTCCTTATTTTGACTCCAGAGCTGTCTGAAAGACTGGATTAGACTGGACTTTCTGGTTTAGGTTGCCAAGGTCAGCTGGGACCAATCCCACCAACAAAAGATGCTTCCCATTGATTTGAGGAATTCTGTTTTCTCTCTTCCCCAGGAAAGCAGGTGATCTTTGTCTTGATCTAAGAATTCCTGAAGTGGTGCTGCCCTGAATGTAGGCCTGGGTAAATTCTCAAAAACCCCATAACACCAGTATAACTAATTTGGTTTTTTTTCCTTTTATTTATATTTCTTTCTCGCTGGTTATTATAAAATGATAGCTGTGTGAAGAATTGCTGTGATCCCCCTTAAAGAGGAAATTTTTGGATATACCCTCCCTCCAGACTTTCCCACACAGGAGACCACAGGATTAACCACTTTTTTTTTTTTTTTCTCTCCCTCATTACTTCCCTTGCAGTTTTTATTTGCCCTCACTAAATCTGCACAACTGGAATGTGGTTCTCCAATATTTTCCTGCCAGCACTCCTCGTGAGCCACATTCCATGTTTCCCCTCTGGCAGGTGTATTTCTCCTCTCCAGCACTGAAATCGGGGGTGAGTTGTAGCTGGTAAAACCAAAACATCCTAATTCTGGTAATGTAGATGAAGTCCAGGCAACATGAAGTAAGAGAGTTTATCACAGAATGACAGGAGGTGCAGCTTTGGTGCTGTCAGGAGGAGTGTAAATCCGAGAGGGAAATGTTTAGTGCTCTTTAATACAGCAGTTCCCCTGGCAACATTTTCTTCAGCTTTAGAAATGCTTTGTCTCCCGTCCAAACAAGCTTAATTGCTCTGATTATCTTCCAGTTTCTTCCTAAAGAACTTTTCAGTGTGCCAAGAAAATGTAAACATCATTCTCTACACTCATTACATCTTTTATTATTGCTTAAGGTCATGTTTTTAGGCTCCCTCCTGAGCCAGATTCTTCCAGGAGTTGAGGCAAAGTGCAAATGTATTCCAGAGCTCCCTCCAAACCGGTGGAGTTCAACACCTCTCTGCCAGTGCAGGGTGAGTCAGGTGAACGCTGCCTCGTCCAGGGCTCCACATCCCACAGGACTTCCCTGAGAAAGCCGGGAAAACGAGCACGGGACGACGAAATTACCCCCCTTTTCTTTCTCTCCTGATGATTTTGCAAGGCTGCCAGTTAGGAGGAACCTCTGGAACCAGAATATCAGTGACTGTTCCCCGAGTGACCTGCAGGCAGGATCCACACTGCCCCTGCAGTGATGAGGGAGAAACATGTGTGATGAGGTGACAATCGTCACCCTAACAGTGGGGGTTTTACTGGAGGAGCTGTTTCTTTTTTTTTTTTTTTGCATTTTCATGAAATGCATCCCTGTGACTGACATCTTTACTGCTCCCTTTGGGCACTGTTAAGATCACCAAGGAGAAATGGCAGGGTTGTGTTGTGTTTTGGTTTTTTTTTTTAATCAACCTCTCCTCTGCACTGTGTTTGTGATGTCAAGCCTGTGACTGAAAGCTGCCTCTTTTACAGTAAGTGAAGTCTCTGGCAGAGATGGTTTCAGATATTCATGTCTCTTTAGGTGGCAGAGGGATGGATCACTGCTGTATTTTTGCTTTCTCTTATAAAGGAGCAAGTAAACTTTATATTGACATTCAGGCTGAGAGGGTTGGGGCTGCTCAGCCTGGAGAAGAGAAATCTCCAGGGACAACTTAGAACCCCTGGCAGTGTCTAAAATGGGCCTGCAAGAAAGCTGGAAAGGGACTTTTTACAAGGGGATGCAGTGACAGGACAAGGGGGAATGGCCTTAAAATGAAGGAGTGTCGATTTAGAAAGGAAGAAGTTTTTTTTTTCAGTGAGAGGGCTGAAAAACTGCAACAGGTTGCCCAGAGAGGTGGTGGATGCCCCATCCCTGGAAACATTGAAGGCCAGGCTGGACAGGGCTCTGAGCAACCTGATAAAATTAAAAATGTCCCTGCCCATGGCAGAGGGGGTTGGATTAAATGACTTTAAGAGGTCCCTTCCAACCCAAACCGTTCTGTGATTTCGGGATTCTATTTGGTCTTTGCAACATTTGTACCTAAAATAAGATCCTATAAATTCTTGGGGAACTGGTGAGCACTGGAAGATCTCGAGAACCTCGTAAAGATTTACATGTTCATAGGGTAAAGTTTGCAGTCCTCTCTTCTTCCCTATCCCGTGCAGCACTTTCTCCAGGAGCCTCAGTTCCAGCGGCCACTGGCACCAAACCTCCCACCAGAGTTCCACCTGCAGGGCTTGGCCTCGTCCTGAGGGGCTGACATCCCAAAAATGGGCTGAGGGGAGCACAGAGGGGCATCAAACACCCTCCCCCTCAGCACTGAGCCGCTGTTCCTCCTCCTGCTCCTCGCCTCAGGAGGGGGCATCGCTCACATCACTCCCGCTCACTGCTCAGCTCTCCCTGCTTTTTAATCCCCTGGTTGAACCCTGCCCAGCAGAAACACGTGTAAAACCTGCAGGTGCCTTTATGTGCTCGAGTCAAACATTTACTTACAACTGCTGTTTCAGCCCTAATAATTAAATTAAACATGAAGGGAAGAGAGCTGCCTGCAAGACCTACAAGCTGTGGAGGTGTAAATCACACCACATCACTAATTGATGACGTTCTGTGCCCGCAGCGGTTTGTAGCTGTAATTGTGTCATTGTAGCTGTGATTTCCGAGGAATAGAGAGCTGCTTACACTCTATCCCTGCACCCAAATTCATACATTAAAAAGGGGTCAGCTCAGGTCAGTGGCTGAATGCGAGGAATGTTGTGTGCATGGTTCAGTTGGAGACATTCAAACGAGGCACTTGGATTTATATTCCCCACCACCACAAAAAAAAAAAAAAAAAAAGGCATTTCTGAATTTGTGAAACGTTGTTTCTCATCTGTTGAAATTGTCCAATTACATTTTTCCGTGAAAATGCACTTGAGTGGACTTTTTAGAAGGATAGCATCCAAGCAGGCTTTGAAAGAAAATCTCCATTTGCTCTGCCAGAACACGTGCAAATCCAAGGGTGCTTTTTTCAGGCTGCATCTCCTATGTTCTGTATGTATCTCCTAAATCCTGTGACTCAGATTCTTTCCTCTATCCACTGTGGTATTTGTAGATATTTCTAGAAATGCATTGGTGTCATAAAATAATCAATTTCTGTGCAATGAATTCCAGCAAAGGGGCACAATCCATCTGAAAGGTAAGGAAAAAAACAGAGATAAAATAAAAGATAAAGGCAATAAGGGAGAACTCTTCTGTTCATGGTTTTTAGTTCGTAACTGCTTGTGTTCAGCAGGCAATCTGATGGCCTTCAGTTATTTCCCACTCCTCTTTTTCAGTGAGAAGGGAACAGCACTGTGCTTCCTTCCAGCTCCCAGGGAACATGTCAGGCAGCCCCAGTCAAGCAGTGCTTGTGCAAGTTGTGGTGACACAGGCAAAGCCATCTCAGGCTGCATCTTGTTCTTCCAAAAGGCATCAGCTGGGCTTAAATTGAATTTCTTATCTTTGTTCGGTTCCATTGATATTCCCCAAGGCGTTTTTTTTGAGAAGGGGAGAAAATTCAGCAGTTTCAGACCCGGATTCAGCCAGGCCAAGTGCCGGGTCCTGCCCTTGGGTCACAACAAACCCCTGCAGCTCCAGGGGAAAGTGCCTGGCGGGAAAGGCCCTGGAAGTGCTGGTGACAGGGAATGGACACGAGCCCAGGGGGGCAAGAGGCCAATGGCACCTGGATCAGGAATAGCGTGGGCACAGCCCCAGGGCAGGGATTGTCCCCTGTGCTGGCACTGCTGAGGGACCCCCAGGGCTGTGTCCAGTTCTGGAACCTCCTGGAAGAGACACTGAGGGGCTGGAGCGTGTGCAGGGAAGGGAAGGGAGCTGGGAAGGGGCTGGAGCAGCAGGAGGGGCTGAGGGAGCTGGGGGGGCTCAGCCTGGAGAAAAGGAGGCTCAGGGGGGACCTTCTGGCTCTGCAATCCCTGCCAGGAGGGGGGAGCCGGGGGGGGAGTCGGGCTCTGCTCCGGGGGAACAGGGACAGGATGAAATGTCAGCAGTTTGAGCCAGGGGAGGTTTACAGTGGATATTAGAAAGAATTTCTTCTTGGGAAGGGTGGTCAAGCATCGGGACAGGCTGCCCAGGGAAAGGGTGGTGCCACCATCCCCGTAGGGATTTAAAAGCCATGTGGATGTGGCACTTGGGGATGTGGTTTAGTGGTGGCCTTGGCAGTGCTGGGTTAGTGGTTGGACTCAATGATCTTAAAGGTCCTTTTCCAACCTAAATGATCCCAACATTCTATTCATTTTAACTGGAAAAAGAGCAAACCCCTTAACCTGACCACATCCCGAAATATTAACACCTCCACAACCAGAAAGACAAGTGAAGACACAAAACCGTGATAGCAAAATAATTTATTAAAATACCACCCTTGGAACAGCTCAACATTCCCATGTTCCCATGTTCCCATGCCAACAATGCAAACATTCTCCCATGTTTTGTGGCAACATCACGGAGTCACCTGCACAAATCCACGAGGAGCAGCATCCCTGGCAGATCCAGCACAGCCCTTGAGTTCTGCTCAGCTCTGACAGAAGGTGAAAGTTTCATTACAAAAATCTACCCTGTGTTCCCAGAAGTGCCTGAGGGGGCTGGACCCCCTCAGTGAGGCTGAGCCAGAGGAGCTGAGAGGCTGAATCCTTCCTGCACATTTTGGACAGCGCTGCTCTAAACCAAGAATATGTTGGTTGATGGGAGTTGTGGGAAACAAAACAAAACAAAACAAAACCAACAAACAAACCAACCAACCATTAATTTGTCTGTATTCAAAAAATGATCTTGGGAGAAATAGGGTGTGTTGGGATGCACAATTTTAACCAACTCGGTGTCAGCTCTGTTGATCTTTTCACTCCTCCCTGTTTAAAGGAGAAGCAGTGGAGTGACTTTTAGCTGACCTTTTCATGGTTATCCATAAAAAAACTGATGCAAGGATCATCTGACCCAGAAAGCATAAAAAGGGTAGGAGAGTGCTCTGCTTTCACAAACTGCCCCCAAATTGCCTGAATTCTTTTATTAGCCTATACAAAATGTAAAAAACAAGCCTATGTACACTGCAGTATTGTCTTTACAGTTCTAGTTATATTTCTGTCCATTTTGTGATGGTATTCCATAGGAAAATATACAGAATTTGGCAAAAGGCCACTAATACTGTTTTGACTGTGTTAAAATTCATGATCTGAGGCCTAAGCTGCAAAAGCTAATTTCGTTTAGCTGAGACGTATGGAGTCACTAGCACAGTGGTTTTATTTAAATAAAGGAATTTGCCTTGCATGCAGTCATTTACTTTTCCTAAATCACCTTTTCCAGCAGGATTGATTATTATTAATTTAATGTATTCTTATTCAAAGCAGCCCAGGGAGCTGGGGGGGTGGGGGATTTACCCTGGAGAAAAGGAGGCTCACAGGGGGTTGTAGCAAGGTGGGAGTTGGTCTTTTCTCCCAGGTAACAAGTGACAAGACAAGAGGAAACAGCCTCAAGTTGCACCAGGGGAGGTTTAGGTTGGACATCAGGAAAAATTTCTTCACAGATCCTGGAGATCTTTTCCAAGCTAAACAATTCTATACTTCTGTGAATTAACAAGCATTCCTTTTGCTCACCATTTTTCCATAAATTCAAGGACTAGCCAGCCTGCACCTTGGGCACGAGGGCAGGGAATGGCAAAAGACATTTCTGCAGGTAACATGGAAAGAACGGGGATTAAAAAGCCTGACCCCATCTCACCAGCAGCAAAAGTACTCAGCAAATAGCTGAATTTTAAATAAAATTGAGATGTTTAAATATTTCCTTTGTTTTAATAAAATGTTTAAAGTTTAATAAAGAAGGTTAAAATGAAGAAGGTAATTCTTCTGCCAAATAAATAAATGAATAATTTTTTTTTCCCATCATTTAGTGGTCAAAAATCAGTGCATGGGCCCAGGTTACTCTACACCAGAAGAAAATAAATAATATATTATTACAGTTACTAAAGACTTTTCAGGATGGCACATATTCCTGCTGAAAACATTTATCCTGCTCTTCAGACACAGGCAAGTAAAAAGAGGCACCTGAACAGTCCAACTTTGATAAAAATAAAAACAAACAATAAAAATGAAGTCATAAAATCTCTTTCCCTGCTCCCTCCTGTGGGTGTGTGAGGATGAGCCTTTCCAGGTGTCAAATCCCCTCAGCTCCCAGCCCGTTTTCCCCTCGGGAACAGCTCCACTTTTACTGCTCCCTGAAAAGAAACCATTTCACACCTATTTACAGGTACTTGCTACTTCTTTGCTGATAAAACTGAGCTTTCCCGTGTGAGAAAGAAAATCAAAGAGGAGCATCAGGCAGGATTTAGGAGCTCCTTTCTCCCTCCTCACAGCTCCAAAGTACTTTTTGCAGCATCTACTATTGTAAAGGCTCAATTCTTTACCTCTGGATCCTCCAAACATCCCAGAGGTTTCACGATCTTTGCTTGGGAATGAAACAAGGAACGGGGCTCCCAGCCTGAGGGATCGCTTGAGCACATCATCCTACCTGGTCTTGTTTAAAAGAGTAGAATCCTCCCCTCTTCTCCCTCACTCATCCAGTTCCTCACAGCAAAAAAAAAAAAAAAAAAAGTCTAAATCGATGTAAGTGACTCTGGTTTAGCCTTGGGAAACCATTTACAGAGGTTTTCGGGCAATCAAAGGGAGCCACCACTATAAAAGGTGTCTCTGGGGTCTGTTTTAATTAAAAGAGCAGGACACCCTCCACTGGCTCCAACCGCAGGAGGCACATCCCAGGGAACAGATGCAGCAGCTTTACACATTAACCAGGTGACCTGCAGTCCCCAAGGCTGTCCCAAGAGCACTGCATGGGAAAATTCTTCCATCTCTGCAAAAGAAAACCTGTGGAGACTGAAGGAGGGCCGTGTGCCAGGATGCAGCTCTGCCCACACGGAGCCCGCTGCGAGGGCAGGGCTGCGGTTCCCTCTGCCAGGACAGGAGCGCCCTGACAGCTCCAAGCATCATTCCTGAAATGCCTGCACAGATTGGGGGCAGGAATCTACCAGGGGCGACCAGGAGGATGGTGCAAATTTTATTCCCTGAAAGAAAAGTGCTTTGGCTTAAGTTTAGCACTGCAGGAATGTCACCAGCCCTTTGGCAGCGGGATTTGGAGGGCAGGGCTGCAGGCCTGGATCTTCCAGGGAGAAGTAATAATTGTGGAGATTGTAGGGATGCAGTGGGGTGAATGGGAGAGAAAGGGATTTGCATGTTTTTGGGCAGAAATTCAGAATTTCTTCCTGGAAAGGGCGGTCAGGTATTGGCAGGGGCTGCCCAGGGAGGTGGGGGAGTCCCCATCCCTGGAGGTGTCCAAGGAATGACAGGACGTGGCACTCAGTGCAGTGGTTTAGTTGATAAGGTCAAAGGTTGGGCCTGATGATCTTGGAGGTCTCTTCCAACCTTAATAATCCCATGATTAAAATAACCATTTTAAAAGCCTTTAACGTGCTGGACCTGGAGTTAACTGGGAGTTTCATTGGGGTCAAGAGCAGCCCTGTAAAAGCAGAGCATTCCAGTGTGTTCATTCCAGCAGGGAAGGTGTTAGAGCACCTCTCCATGGTTTTCTGTCACCAGCTGGCTCCAGTAGCTCAGCTGCTCTGACGGTTCCACTTCGTGGCACATCACGATTTTCTTGAAGCGGGAAACGGAGAACCTGATCCTTTCTGGGAAAAATGTCTGCTCCGAGTGGAGCTCCTCCAGCCTGATTTTTAATCTGGCAAGGCACATTCCTACGAACACATCCTCCAGCTTAATGAAGGGAACACTCTCAGAAACGTTATAGATCTGACTGGCAACGTCACTGGATAAAACATATCCGGTCCCGGAACAGAAAGGCGGGTAGGTTTTTCCTGGATACTCTTCCCTGCTCACGAACCACTTGCTCCCTCTTCTCCTTATGGGGTACTCATGCAGCTTTAAAAAGCCTGTGAAGAGCCCAGTGGTCTTCCCCTTCCTCAGGAGCAGCTCAGTGAGGTAAAAAACGTTGACAAACACGTCTGTGTCGGTTTTCATCACGAAGCCGGACTGGGGACAAAACCGGTGAACCCACTCCATGCCCATCATGGTCTTCAGGGTCAGGTTGTAGTAGGTGTCTGTGAAGTTCTTCTGGATGATGTCCCCGTACTTTTGGCCCTCAGCAGCGATGCCAGCCTGCTGGCCGGGATCCAGGGCGCTTCCCAGGAGGAAAAACGTCACCAGGCGCTTCCCGGCCACCGTCCTCTCCCTGCCCCAGGTCTGCCGGATGGCCATCCTGGCATCCAGGTGCTGGCACGAGGATGCCACGAGCAGGACGAGGAAAGGAGGGTTCTTGTGGCAGTCTATGTCTGGCAGCTGGGAGAAGTTTCCTTCCGTCCTCCTGAAGGGCCCCGTGGGGAACAGGAAACCTTGGCTGTTCTCACAGAACAGGCAGAACTCGGTGAAGTTGTACAGAAACCAGAAGCTGCCAGAGCTGAGCCCGAGGAGGCAAACAAACAGCCTGAACTTTCTGAAATCCACCTGGAAGCAGCAGGAAGGAACAGCACATTAACAGACAATAACATCTAGTCCCTTTCAGTAATATCGAGCTGCTTTTGGTGCTGTGCACCAAACCCCCTGCCTAGGGAGTCAAACCCAGGGCATCTCTAATTGGAATCTGCCCAGTCCAGGGCAGTCACCCACACTCCTTTCTCCTCGTGCCACCCCCACAAGATGTTCTGCTGGCCATCAGATTCACACTCCTCTTTACTTCAGTCTTCCCCCTAAGCCAGCTGTATCCTCAGAAATCCACACGAGCACATCCAGGTTACCCCTGGCTGATGCTTCAAACCTCCTCCCCCACTTTCAGCGTCTTACAAACCACGATTTAGACCCTCCCAGCCAGAGTGGAGAAGCAGCAGATGTGTGCCCGTGTCAGGTGACAGAGAAGGACAACAAGAGGGGGTTTTTACATACCGTGGTTCTCCATCTGAGCCGGTGCCCCAGAGCCAGCAGGTGTCCAAGGGGCAGGCCCAGCCAGGTTCCTTCCATCCTCATCTTCCTTGTGTCCTGTGGGGCTCTTGCATCAACCCAGAAACTGCTCCTGATCTTTCTGCTGGAGGGGCCATGAGTCACATCTTTGAAGCTGGGTCAGCTGCTCAGAAAAAGAAAGAAGAAGAAAAAAAAAAAAAACCAGCAGTGGGTCACATTATTTGGATGGTTCAGCTTGTGCAGAGTTTAAGTGACTCACTAGGGCATGCTGAGGTGAGAAGGGGTTGTTCTGTCCCCCTCTCCTTTTTGAGAGGAAAGAGATCCAAGCAGTGACAGGAATGTTCGCTCATTTATCCTTGTAAACAGATTAATGTGCTGCACATCAGGTTACAAACCTAAACTGCCGGAGAGGGAAAAATTATCCCACCCAAAAAGGTCACGCAGTGACAAAAATATTGCCCATCTCCACAAATTAACCTGGTGAGAAGAGTTTAATGCATCAGCTACTCATCCCAGGAACCCACAGGCCCACCAACCACTGTTTCAGAGCAGCAGGATGGGGCAATGCCCACCTTCCCCCTTCTTAAAGAATTGTACCTGTCTCTGTCTTCCCATCTGAAAACACAGCAAAACAAGTTTACAATCCCTGGAGCTGTAGATTTCATGGAAATTTGATCTCTGCCTTCTGACCAGGAATGTTCTGTGTAGACTCCCCCAGATCACATTAGTGCCCTCCTTCTGCTCGAATTTCCAAGCAAGGAAAGGTTTTGCTTTGCAGGCTTTTAAGCCTATTTTAAGCAATTCACTAATGAATTTTGAAAATATTTCAGGAGTTCACATTTCTGCTGGCACTTATATTTAAATTAACTTTATCCTCAAACAGAGTATCCCTCAGATCTGGTTTTTCTCACATGTGTAGCTCACAGTAATCTCGTAATTAGCTTTAAAACTGCTTTAATTAAATTCATATGTCAAATTGTGTGTTTATATATATGCATGCAGAAATACATATATATATATGTATATACACACACACATAAACACAAAAGATTGTACAAAAATCTGCTCTGCATCTGTTCTCCTGTTCTTCAGTGGCATGGGAGGAAGCACATGAACATCCTGAAAACAGTGATTTTAGGAGAGGATGATGTTCTGAGGTTGACAACAGAGCTGCCCCAGAGCTGTCACCAGCTCTCATGAGACTCTTTGAGGGTCTGACATTCCTCTGTCACAGGAATTCCAGAATATGTACAAACCAAAGTCTTCCAAAGATAAAACTGCTATTAAAACCCATTAAAACCTTTTCACAAACACTCAAGAGCAAGAAACCCTCCCTCAAAACAATCATTTCACAGTATTTCAGCAGAATCAGACCAGTGTGATGTGACCATATTTATTTCTTGTTTCCAGGCTTGGGCCCAGGTAACAGATCTTTTAAAAAAAGCATCAAAAAGGTCCCTGTTCTGGGCAGTTGGGAGAGCAGCGTCCCAGCTTTCCCATTCTGCCTCTCCAGAGCCAGAGGGTCTTCCTTTCTCAGTCCGTGGATGAAGCATCGTATCTTATACAGATTTATAAACACACACACACATCCCTGGGCAAGGCAACTGTTTGTAAATGCATGTCAACTGTAAAACATATTGCAAATGGCCCATCTGTCCGTGGATCCTTCCACTGCAGTTCCCCCTGTAAGGACGGGTGGGTAGGCAGTGGCCTGGATAAGGAGCACAAAATTCCCAGGGCAAAGTCCCCTTTGGCTCTGACTGTGTGAGAGCTGGAAAATAACCAGCTTTTGGCACTGGGTTAATCATCGAAAAGCAAATTTGGGTTTATCTGGGGCTGGCAGGAACGGTGTCCGCTGTCCATGGGGGGCCGGGGGTGGCCCTTTGTGACACGGGCGCCTTCCAGGGCCCTTTGTGACGCGGGACATGGGGGTGCCCGGAGACCTTTGTGACATCGCAGACCCCGCCCTGCCCCGGGGGTATATAAGGGGTGCAGAGCTCAGCCCATCCCAGCTGCTCCCCTGGAGCGGCTCCTTCTCTCTCCTCTCTCTTCCCCTCTCTCTGTGTCCACAGGAGAGGACAATGGGGCTGGGCTGGGCTGGGCTGGGCTGGGCTGGGATGCGATGCAATGGGATGGGATGGGATGGGATGGGATGCGATGCAATGGGATGGGATGGGATGGGATGGGATGGGATGGGATGCGATGGGATGGGATGGGATGGGATGCGATGCGATGCGATTGGATGGATGAAGAGAAGAGGAAACCCAAGCCCCAGTGCTGGCAACACTGCCACCTGGTAATAATTTTTTTCCTCTCTCTCTCTTTTTTTCTTTTTTTCCTTTTTCTTTTTATCTTTTTTCTCTTTTTTCTTTTTTATTTTTCTTTTTTATTTTTCTTTTTCCTTTTTTCCTTTTTTCTTTTTTTCTTTTTTATTTTTCTTTTTCCTTTTTTTCCTTTTTTCTTTTTTCCTTTTTTCTTTTTTTCTTTTTGTTTTTTTTTCTTTTTTCCTTTTTTCTTTTTTCCTTTTTTCTTTTTGTTTTTTCTTTTTTCTTTTTTTCCTTTTTTCTTTTTTCTTTTGTTCTTTTTTTCTTTTTGTTTTTCTTTTTCTTTTCTTTTTTCTCTTTTTTTCTTTTTTTTTCTTTTTGTTTTTGTTTTCTTTTTTCTTTTTCTTTTTCTTTTTCTTTTTTCCTTTTTTTGTTTTTTTTTCTTTTTTCTTTTTTTTTCTTTTTGTTTTTTGTTTTTTCTTTTTTTCCTTTTTTCTTTTTTCCTTTTTTCTTTTTTTTCTTTTTGTTTTTTTTTCCTTTTTTCTTTTCTTCTTTTTTTTTTTTTCTTTTTGTTCTTTTTTCCTTTTTCTTTTTTTTCTTTTTTTTTCCTTTTTTCTTTTCTTCTTTTTTTCTTTTCTTTTTTCTTTTTTCTTTTTTCCTTTTTTCTTTTTTCCTTTTTTCTTTTTTTTCTTTTTGTTTTTCTTTTCCTTTTTTTCTTTATGTTTTTTGTTTTTTCTTTTTTTCCTTTTTTCTTTTTTCCTTTTTTCTTTTTCTTTCTTTTCTTTTCTTTTCTTTTTTCTTTTCTTCTTTTTTCTTTTTTCCTTTTTTCTTTTCTCTTTTTTTCTTTTTTCTTTTTCTTTCCTTTTCTTTCTTTCTTTTCTCTTTCTCTTTCTTTTTCTTTTAATAAATTTAATTAAATTTTATGTATTGAATATCCTAGATAAATATAGTATATATAATATATAATGTATAACAATGTTTTAAATATATGCAATACATTTATTAATATATTACTAAAATCTATTAATAAAAGTTAATACATGTTTATAAACAATTCCATTGTTTGTGGACTCTCTGACTCTCGTCGTCCTTCCCACCACAACCATTTACGACTCTCGGTGCTCCCTTTCCCTCATGGCTGGGTCGGCACAACCTGCTCAGAAAAGATGCCGAGTTTTCCAATCCTGCTCGTCTGTTCCTGGTCCCTGTCAGGAGCAGAGCGGGTGTTGGCAGCAGAAATAATCAGGGAATCACAGAATATCCCGAGGCCGGGTTGGACAGGGCTTGGAGCACCCTGTGCTGGTGGAAGGTGTCCCTGCCCATGGCAGGGGGTGGCACTGGATGATCTTTAAGGTTCCTCCCAGCCCAAACCATTCTTGTGGCTCTGTGAAGGCAGTCAAGGTCTGTGATCCGAACCAGCCAAACCGCAGCCTTCTCTACTTTGGAAGTTCCCGTTTCCATGAGTGGCACCAACCCCAGCTCTGGGGTCTCTCTGTTCACACCACTGACCCTCGTGGAGCTCCTTCACGTCTCACAGTGATAAGGCCGAGGTAGCTCCTGTGACAAAGCCTGGTTATTCCCCCCAGAATTAATCTGACACCTCCTTCAGGCCTGTTAACGAGCGTAATTATCTGAAGGGCACCGAGAGATCAAGGCTATCTGCCACATAGTTCAGGAAAAGCAATCTGGCCTGTGGCAGGGGGAGGTAAGTAGGTCTGGAGTCCCTCTGGGAAACAGATTTAAAATATCAATTAAAAGAAACACAGTTTTCCTAACTTTTCTGGGGCAAAGCTCCAATCGAGCCACTGAGTTCAGTGGAGGGTTGGCGTTGCCTTTGCACTGAGCTCACACACCAGACCAAAGTGCTTTTGGGCATCTGCAAAGAGCCCCCACTCTGTAAAGAGGCTCAAGCAGCTGTGACAGGGCAGATCCAAAAACAGAGGCACAACTGAAGTGCCTAAACTGGACTTACAACCCCAAACACTGCACAGTTGAAGTCAGCAGTTTTATTCCCCTTTTCCTTTCCTAATCATCGACAGTAACATGTGCCCTGGGTGTAAACACCAGTAATAGCTCTGCTAACTCCAGATTTCCCTTGGAATAAAGCCCCTAAATTGCTCTCTCATAAGCCCTGCAGGACACAAGGAGGGATTAAGCACACACAGAGAATAAGAAAATGTCAAGTGCAGTGGGGAACGTTTCTCTTTTCCTAACTGCAGGTGTTTCAGAGGAGCAGGGGCCAGCTTGGAGCTCTCAAAGGTGATGTCTCTGGTGAGGCAGTGGCTTCAGCAGTGCCTGGGCCACTGTTTTTACAGAAAATGCTGCTTTTCAGGGGAGGTTTTCACAGCAAAGTGTACTTACAGTGTCCTCCCCCAGATTGTCGAGGCTGGCAGGACAGGAGGGTGAAAACCCAAAAAGGGCACAGGACAAGAGAAGAGCTTTTTCTGCTGCCCTTACTGTCAGAGTAGGGAAAACCTTTTCCCCCTTCATACCTCTCACCAACACCTCCCTGCCAGCCCATCAGCAAGACACTGTTCCTCTGCTTCCATCACTTAAGCACTGAGTTGCTGAACACATTATTTACAGACACATCCTCTCCTTGGTTGGTTCCCCCCCCCCTTTTTTTTTTTTAATAATTTTTAGGGGTTTTTTTGTCCTTTTATTTTTGCAGTGCTGCTGCAGGGAGGGTTTAGCTTTCCCAGTTTCTCCCCAGGCTTGCCTTGGGAGTGGGGGGGGTGTGGAGAGAGGGGCTTTTCACACTTAAAATAAACCTCTGGCTCTCCAGAAAGTCCACAGTGTTTCATGGTCAGGGAGCTGTCACAGACCCGGAGCAGGAGTCCCCATCTCCAGACCCTGAGCCATCAATTAGACACCAAATAGAAAAGGAGAATTACTGTTATGGATTTTCAAATCCTACTGCGTTGCCTGGCTTATGTTCTGTCATTATGTTACTAATACCCATTTAGCTGATTGACCCTGTGACTCCAACAGCAGATTGAATCTTCTCTGTGGAACGTTGGCCTAGTTTTATTTACCTTTTTGGGGTTTTAATAAGGAAAGAATAAAAGATAATTACAAGAAAAAAGGTGAAGAGTAGAAACGAGTCAGGTTTTGAAAGAGCAGAAACGAGTCAAGCTTTGAATTTTCCAGAGGGGAAAAAAAATATTAGAGTGATATGTGCAATTCTAAATTATTGTTAATCCCAGTGAAATGCCATGAATATACAAATTATGAGATATATACAGATATATGCATACTGTATAGCTGTATTCTTAGCAGTATGGCCAATGCAGCCTGAACACTGGTTCAGTTATAATAAGAAGAAAAGAAACATTTTTTGCAGCAATCAAAGGAAAAACATTGTCAAAAAGAGGGACACTGTAATATAAATTGGTTAGAATTCAGTAACTGAGTAAGAGTCCCTGAAAGTTTCACCTCCATGGCCTTCCTTCATGAGACAGTTTTCAGAGGAGCCACCTGACCTGCTGTGACTCCTTAACTTTACCCCCTCGAAGGCAAATTCCCACTATTTCCTCCTGTGAATCAGGATTTCTGTGCCACAGATGGTGGTGTGCTGGTGGTTAACCACAGCCCCAGCATATTGTATAAACATAACCTCCGACAGGGCAGCTCTCCCACAGCCCAGGCACAGGCAGCAATCACCCACTAACGAGGTGCATCTTTGTTCTCACAAGGAAAGAATAAATATTTGCAGGTCCCACCCGTTCAGACACCCCAGTGTCACCTCAAGGTGTGGAGATTTCATAGAATCATAAAATCAAAGAATCAGAGGGGTTGGAAAGAACCTCTGAGGTCATCAAGTCCAACCTTTGATCCACTACCACCACAGTTACTGGACTATGGCACTGGTGCCACATCCAATCTCACCTTAAACACCTCCAGGGATGGAGAATCCACCCCCTCCCTGGGCAGCCCATTCCAAAGCCTGATTACCCTCTCTGTAAAGAATTTTGTCCTCATATCTAACCTAAACCTCCCCTGGCAGAGCTTGAGACCAAGCCCTCTTGTCTTACTGAGAGCTGCCTGGGAGAAGAGACCAAACCCACCCTGGCTACACCCTCCTGTCAGGGAGTTGTAGAGAGTGATGAGGTCACCCCTGAGCCTTCTCTTCTCCAGACTAAACAACCCCAGCTCCCTCAGCCTCTCCTCACAGCACTTGTGTTTGGGTCCCTTCACCAGCCTGGTTGCTGTTCTCTGGACCTGCTCCAGCCCCTCCATGTCCTTCCTGAGCTGAGGGGCCGAGAACTGAACACAAAACTCAAGGTGTGGCCTCACCAGTGCTGAGTCCAGGGCAAGAATCACTTCCCTGCTCCTGCTGCCACACTCTTCCTGATCCAGGCCAGGATCCACTTGCCCTCTTGGCCACCTGGGCACACTCTGGCTCATGTTCAGCTTCCTGTCAATCAGCACCCCCAGGTCCCTTTCCACCTGGCTGCTCTCCAGCCACTCTGTGCCCAGCCTGCAGCGCTGCAGGGGTTGTTGTGGCCAAAGTGCAGGACCCAGCACTTGGTCTCGTTGAACTTCATCCCATTGGAATCAGCCCAACTCTCCAGCCTATCCAGGTCCCTCTGCAGAGCCCTCCTGCCTTCCAGCAGATCGACACTCCCTCCCAGCTTGGTGTCATCTCCAAATTTGCTGATGATGGACTCAACCCCCTCATCTAAATCATCCATAAAGATGTTAAACAGGACTGGGCCCAGCACTGATCCCTGGGGACACCACTGGTGAGTGGATCCCAGCTGGATGCAGCACCATTTACCACCACCCTGTGCCAGGCCCTCCAGCCAGTTCAGACAGGACCTGCCCTTCCTAAACCTGTGCTGTCTGGCTCTGATCCCTATTCCCATTCCTATTTCCTCTGATCCCTATTCCCATTCCTATTTCCTCTGATCCCTAATTCCATTCCTAAATGGATGCAACACCACGTGGCCTCTGGGTTCTGCCTCTGAGACAACCCAGATGGCTGATGCCTAAAGGAGAGTAAAGATCATGGCAAGAGGGAAGGTTTAGTAGGCACAGGGATCTTTTGAACCAGAGGATGCATTTTCCTCTCTATTTAAAAAATCATCATTAGCTTTTAATGCACCTTGATCTCATCCACCCAACCATGGCCACTGGCTCAAAAAATTCATATGGAAAAGCTAAAAAAGTATCCTCAGACCAAAATGCAATTTTGCTTTCAAAACCAGCAAGAAGTAGTTTGGCAGGAGGTGTAGCTGCTCTGGTAATGTCACAGGAGAGAAGTGCTGCATCTGAGGAGCAAAAAAGAAATGTATTTCCAGGGACTTTAGCCAAGTCAGGAAAGCTTACTCCTATTTTAGAACATCTTTTGGCTTTCCCAAGCTGCCTGAAAAAATTCTCTGGATGAATCCTGGCCCTAAAACACCCACCCAAATGTCAGTTTGGGTAGTAGTTAGTAAGGTCAGAACCCTTTTCCAGGATGGAGAAAGATGCTACAGCGTTCAAACCATCAACGTGGAGACACAGTACAGGACAACCATTACAGCCCAGCCCCAGTTCAGGTGCTTTTTGTCCTTTTTGGGGGCATATTTGGACAGTTTTGACTTAATCCACTTCCACAGGTGATGGGCATATTGAACTTGCTTCAGAATTGCCTCATGAATCAGCAATTTTCCTCCAATTGCTATTCCACTTGCTGTATTCCAGATTCCACTTGCCCTGACTCCAGATCTCACCACGGATAAGCAATTGTCCACCAGGGGATGAATCAGAGCAACCTGACCTCGTGTAAACCCGTGTGGTTCTTTGTGCTCAACGGGAACAAAATCCCACTCACAGCCACCCTCTCATCTTTATAAAATAAAGCGATCAGAAAATTTCTCCTTTAGGCTCTTGCTGTCAATGCCAGGACTCCAAAAGCCCAGTCATTCTGAGTTAATAAAAGCAGCAGTTCTTCAAAAATTGTATGCCTGTGTCTGTGTCCCCAAAACAGGTTATTTCTTGCACCGTGGTTTACAAGTAGTGCTGCACGTTGTTTGTCTCATCTTAATGAAAAAGAGGAAAAAAAAAAATCCCTGAAAATAGTATTTCAGATAGAATGAGAATCTCACTCTTCTCCCTTGGAAACAGTCTCAAGATACATGAAGTAAGAAGTAAGAGAGCACTGCAGAGAACTGATAACTATGCAGATTGTACCAAAAAAAAAAAAAAAAAAAGAAACCTCATTCAAATGGGAAAAATTAGCAATAAAAATATTCCAATGTCACTTTTAGATCTTTGAGCGCTGCTCAGCCCCGCTGTAGGATGAGGACCTGTTAGGAACTTCCCTTTCAGATGGGTTTTTTTTCCCCCTATTTTAATCTGTGGGAGCACCTTCATGGAGCAGGTGAGCCCAGTGTTCTTCTGTGCCCTTTCGTTTCGTGCTGCCTCTTGGCACAGTCCTTTCGAGGTGTTTGGAACTTTACACTCCGCTGTCCATGTAAGAGTTGGACTAAAGCTGTGCGTTTATCTGTCTGGAAAAGAAACAGTCTGGTCCTTTCGGAGGAAAATGTTCCTGGGCATCACTCAGGGCAGAGAGAGCCTGGGACAGCCATCCAGGGTCCCCTCACTGCTCCAGCCCTGAGCCAAAGGCTGACTGGGAGGGACAGTGCCCAGCTCCTCATTTCATCAGCAGGGCTAAGGCAGAAAGCAAAGGAACACAAATCCAACTGTAGGTCCCTCCTGCTGGCAAATCCTTTCTCAATAACTCCTTGGCTTTAAAAGCGCTGATCAAACACAGCAGTGCTGGCAGGATCAGGCCCAGCGGCTGCTTTTTTTTTTTTTTGGATTCCTTACCTGTACCTCGTGGCTCTTCCTCCTTTGAAGCATTTCATCCAAGCTCTCGGCGGGACAGCGGGGACAATGTTTGCCCTGTACTTGTCCTGGCTGATCCTGGGCTTTGTGTGGGGCCGCCAAAACGTTTCCCCACGCAAAACACACATCAAATCTGGATTATTGTTGCTTATTCGTTCCTTCTTACCATCAAATCGTTCCACCCCTCGTGCCAGTCACGGCGATGCCTCTCACTGCCCGTCCTACCAGGGGATGAACTTTGCACGCCCTGCCCGGATCGGGAGGGGCACATTTCTCTATAGGCAGCTCTGGACTTGGGTCCCGGTCTTCCAAGCAGCGTGTGGCACCTGCTACCCCTTCTTATCTCTCTCCCAGCCCTTCTTATCTCTCTCCCAGCCTATCCGCGTCGGCGGGCGAGTTTTCTGAAGTGGGTGAAGCGGGATCGCCTCGCCCCGGGTCCTACCTGGAGCTGGAGTTACGGGAAGGAAAAGGGGCACCTCCTCACCTCGGGCTCCTGCAGCGCATCCTCCGGGCTCTGGCCGTGCAGCGGGAAGCTGCGGAGGGCGATGGGCTCCTCTTCCCATCGGGACCGCCGGCTACAGCCGGGGAGGTGTCCCCCGGTGCCCCATCCCGAGCGAGGGCTCCATCACCGGCGGCGCCTCCCGAGCCAGGAGCGAAGGGAGGCGGCGATGCGGTAACCTGAACTCCCCGCCTGCCTCTTCCCTCCCTCCCTCTCCCTCCCTCTCTCCCTCCTCCCTCCCTCTCTCCCGTGGGTATCAGAGCGGCGGTCCCGCTGCGGCTCCATCGGCGGGGAAGGGAAGGTCAGGAGCTCACTGCCCGCGGTTTTATTATGGATATTTGGGATGGGAGGAGGGGGAAAAGGCGGCGGCCTGGGAGGTGCGGAGCTGGAAACCGTGTGAGGGCAGCGCCAGCCCTTCCCAGCGCTGGGAAAGTTCGGCCCCGCGCTCCCAATTACCAGCGATCCAGCCTGGATTTGCACAGTGGGAGAGAAATCCCCCCCCCACCCCTCCTCCTCCTCCTCCTAGGCTAAAAAGCCGGCACTGAGGCACCCTCGTGAGTGAGGGATTTTTGCTGATGGGGAATGACAACCCCGGGAGCAAACACCGCCTCGCGTGGGGCCCCTGGGGTGACAGAACCCCTGAGTCTACACACATTCTCCTTGGATCCCCGTGTTTGCTTAACCCCTGACCCTGCGCTGTTTGGGCTCGGCCCTCAGCCCCAGGATTAGTCAAGCCTTTGCTTTAGGGGAAGTGCAGCGCTTTCACCTTTGTGGACATGGCACAAAATTGTCCCCCTCCTCCCCGTGGCTGCAACAATGACACTTTCACACGGCAGCGATTATTCCAACAATACCTTTTCTTTTCTAAGGACTGCAAGCTCCAAGCCGAAAAGACCACTTCCCAAATGAGTGTTGTGGATAAACCAGCCCATTTCACAGCGAAATACCCGCTGGCGATTCGGGGGAGTTCGAATTTCTAGCAAGGAATATTCCCTTGGATTTGTCACTGTCGTTTTTGAAACAAGTTGTTCCAGTGCAGCACCAAAAAAAAAAAAAATTAAATTAAATTGAATAAAAAGAAAGAAAACAGGAGACAAATCAATCACTGGGAGCTGCTGGCAGCTCCCTTTCTCCTCCCCCTCCACTCCAAGGCTGGGGATGGATACATGTAGTTAAGGAGACACACCAAACGCTGTTTGCTTGTTGTACTTTGCAGGAGAAACACAAATGAGAAGAGAGGTCCAGATTTGCTGCAGAGAGGACTGCTCCAAAAAGCTTGTGTGGTTGTCTATTATTGTTATTATTATTATTATTACTACTACTTAAAAAACCATGCCCAAGTAGCTTTAGTTTCCTCTAATAAAGAAGCATTAGCAAAGGCACCTCAACTTCCTGTACCTCCCTCTGGGTGCATGACTCTCTTTTGTGCTCTGAGTTCCTAAAAAAACCCTTTCCTTCAGTTTTGGGAAACTGCTAAAACTTTGTCAAAGTCTGACCTACACAGTCCAAGAGCTACTGGACACACAAAAGCTTCCGCCAAGCAAATTACTTGCCCTCCACCTGGAAAAGGGATATTTTCCCATGGAAAATGTGAAAAAAATGGAGGGCTGGGGCTCTTCCCTCTGCCCACATCACATTTCTCACTGGTTGCCATCAGAGCAGCCCTAAAATGAGAATCATACAATGGTTTGGGTGGGGAGGGACCACAAAGCCCACCCAGTGCCACCCCCTGCCATGGGCAGGGACACCTTCCACCAGCCCAGGTTGCTCCAAGCCTTGTCCAACCTGGCCTTGGACACTTCCAGGGATCCAGGGGGAGCCACAGCTTCTCTGGGCAACCTGTGCCAGGGCCTGCCCACCCTCACAGGGAAGGATTTCTCCTTCATATCTAATCTAACCCTGCCCTCCTTCAGCTTAAGGCCATTCCCCCTTGTCCTATCACTCCTGCACCTTGTCCCAAGTCCCTCTCCAGCTCTCTTGTAACCCATTCAGGTACTTGAAGGGGCTCAAAGGTCTCCCTGAAGCCTCTTTTACAGGCTGAACACCCTCAGGCTCCCTCAGGCTGCTTTCACAGGAGAGCTGCCCCATCCCTGTGATCACCTTCGTGGCCTCCTCTGGACTTACTCCCACAGCTCCACATCCTTCCAGTGCTGAGGACCCCACAGCTGGAGGCAGCACTGCAGGTGGGGTCTCACCAGAGCACAGAATCCATTGCCAATCCCTATTAAAGCCCATTTTTCCAGTCCCTTAGCCAGGCCAGGGACAGGTTCCTGCTCCCAGCTTGCTCTGTGAGTTTTAGCAGTTTGATTCTCCAGGGTTTTTTTCCCCTGCCCAGCTGTCAGCAGGGCTAGGGAGGCTGGAGGGCATTCAGTCCCTGGCAGGACCTCCCACTGCAAAGCACACACTGAGCTGGGAGATCACACAGGGCAAGGTCTGGGAGGGGCACGAGAGGGAGGAAAATAAACTCTGGGATATCTTTATGCTGAGGGAAAAAAAAAAAAAAGGCAAAACCAAGCACAATCTACTTCTCTAAGCCTCTGCTGCAGGATTGTGTTTGCTGTGTGAGTCCACCCCTACCCCAGCAAAGCGTTTAAGCAGAGTTATGTACACATGTGCCTGGATTTCATTAGCAGTAAATTTAAGCCAACATATGTCTACGTGAAGTCAGGCCTCAAGGAGTGAGTCAGGGCCTAAATCAGTGTTGTAATTGAACTAAAATAATCTAAGCCTGCTCTAAATGCACATAGCTTTAACCTGTCACATCAAATGAAAATTATATACTTAAACTGTAATCTTGCTGTTCCCTTAGTCATCAAAAGAGGCCAGATCAAATTTTCTTTTTTAAAAAAAGAGACCATGGATGCTGCTCAGCTGCTGAGGAGGAGGTGGGGCTCATGGAGCAGCATATTGACAATATCTCAGGATTCATTTAGGTTGGAAAAGAGCTCCCAGCCCATCCAGTCCCTCCTGTGCCCCATCCCCACCTTGTCCCCCAGCCCAGAGCACTGAGTGGCATGTCCAGACCTTCTCTGAAAACCTCCAGGGCTGGGCACTCCAAACCTCCCTGGGCAGCCCCTGCCAAGGCCTGGCCACCTTTTCCATGAAAAAATTCCAACCTGAGCCTCCCCTGGCACAGCTGGAGGCCGTTCCCTCTCCTCCTGTCCCTGTTCCCTGGGAGCAGAGCCCGACCCCCCCCGGCTCCCCCTTCCTGTCAGGGAGTTGCAGAGCCAGAAGGTCACCCCTGAGCCTCCTTTTCTCCAGGCTGAGTCCCCCCAGCTCCCTCAGCTCCTCATAGGACTTAAAACTCAGCTTGAACCAAGGGGTATTCCTGCCTTCCAAGCTGGACTCACCCCCAAACTCAGGCACCCCCATCCACGTCACTCCTCCCTTCTTCAAGGAGAAAACCAGCAGCTTGAAACTCTGGCTGCATTGGTGGCTCTGTTTTGTCTCTGATCCTTGGGGGCTCTGTATTGTCATCTCCTCTGGCATCTGCTTGGACTTGGCCCAGCTGAGGGACAGTTAACATTTCCACTGCCGAGTTTGTTCGAGCACGAGGCAGTCAGAGATAAGGTCAGGCTGCAAACCCCCCTCAAAGGATGCCATTGTTTGGTTGGGCTTTGGGTTTGCCGTGTTTTGTTTGGTGCCACGGTGAGAAATGTGCAGAGGAGCTCTGTCCTTGGGCTCCTCTGAACACTTGTGCTGATAAAACAGGAGGGGGAGGCAGAGAAGCTCTTGCAGCTGAAGAGGGCCAGTGATCTACAGTGCAGGTAGGGGATGTTTGAACAGCTTCGTTACCTGGCTGCAGTGGAAGTTTCAGGTTTAATGTAACATTAAATCCAATTTTCCCGAAGAACTTTTCAAGGTTTTTCCTGCAGAGAACCTACACAGGTTTATTTCAGTCAGGAGGAGGACTTTTGTTGAAATAACTGCCCTTCAAAGGGCACAGCTTGTGATATAAAGGCACTGACAGAAGTGCAGATTAAACTAACATGAGGAAAATTGTTACCAATAAAATCTACTTGTAAGGCAGCAAAATGGTTTCTACCCTCAGATTTACAGCATTGTAATTCTGCTGATGCAAAAGTGATGATTGTTGCCCAGAGAAGCCGTGGCTGCCCCTGGATCCCTGGAAGTGTCCTAGGCCAGGTTGGACGGGGCTCTGAACACCCAGGTCTAGTGGAAGGTGTCCCTGCCCATGGCAGAGGGTGGAACTGGATGGTCTTTAAGGTCCCTTCCAACCCAAAGCATTCTATGATTCTAAACCCACATTTTTGGCAAGAGTGCAAGCTCTATTGCTAAATCAGACACACCAGATACCTCCCTGAACACAAAGTTTGATTTATGTAACAGCACCCCTGCCAGGGGGAGGGTTGGAACTGTGCTCCCCTAATCAGATCAAAATAGGTGAAGTTCTACAACAACTTGTGCCAACAAGGCTCAAATTCCTCTCAGCATCAGCAGTTAACAGAGCCAGTGGGCAGCCAGTGTTGTGTGCCCTTCTCCACAGCTGCCTCCTGTGATCTGTGGCTGCCTCTTGTCCTCCTTTAATCCCTCGGAGCACAGAAAGGATTTTCCTGCTGGCAGAATCGTGTCCAGGCAGGTTTTGAATATCTCCAGAGAAGGAGACTCCACAGCCTCTCTTGGGGAACCTCTTCCAGTGCTTTGCCACCCTCACAGTGAAGTTTTCACTTCGTATTCGTTACCCCTGGTCCTGTCACTGGGCACCACTGGAAAGTCTGGCCCCATCCTTTTGGCACCTGCCCTGAGGATGTTCGTGTGCATTGACAAGGTCACAGAATCATGGAATGGTTTGGGTTGGAAGGGGCGTTAAAGATCATCCAATTCCAATCCTTCCACCAGCCCAGGTTGCTC